AATAATGTAATTTAGAAGTAAATAGTCCAAAGATCTGTACAGACTCAGTTTTACTGACTGTATTAGATGTAGTTTAAGTGGAATATGAGTTGGCAGGAGAACCAGGTGTGTGGCTTTAAATAAGGACTGGATATTTCTCTAAAGAAATGGAGGGCCATTTGGAATCAGGCAGGAGGACAGCAGCTAGATTTGATGCAGGTTGAGGTGCTGTGTGGATCACTCACAAAGCAATAAATTGACAAGCGAAGGCAAGGCAGCAGAAGAGTGGTTCTTAAAGCATGTTCCCCAGACCAACAGCATCAGCAAAACTTGGGAACTGCAGAGAAGTAGATCTGTTGCTCTCCTGCAGACCTGGACTCAGATCTATTCTTATACTCAGGTGTTTTTTGTTTGTTTGGTTGGTTGGTTTTGGTTTTTCTCCGGTACCGGGAACCGAACTCACGACCTTGCGCTTGCCAGGCAGGAGCTTTGACGCTGAGCTAAATCCCCAGCCCCTTGGACTCAGATCTATTAAATCCAGAGGACCCTATGGAAGCTCACGTTTGGGAACAACTGAACTACAAGCAGTTTGGTATTGTGTCCCCTGGACACAAGGAAACTATTGCCAGTTAGGTGGGAAGGGCCTGACAAAAAGACCCATAAAGGTAGCGTGCAATTCTAGTCATCTTTTTCCATCTCTGCCACTGCAGCCTTGTCCAAACACCGTGATCTCTCATCTGGAATAGCATGATGGCTTTATAATCAGCTTCTTCCCCCAGCTTGCACCTATAACCCATGTTTGCAAGCCAAGAGTGATTTTACCTATGTATACAATTACGTCTTTACTCCCCTGCTTAAAATCTCCAGTGATTCCTACCACAAGAAATAAACTGTGAAGTCCTTATCATGGGCCACAAGTCCTGAAAGAGCTGTCCCCTGTTGGTGCCCTTTATCTTCCACTTGTCCCTGTGTACTTCCTTTGCCTGGTCACTTACTCCAGCCGGGCACCTCTGTCCTTGGTATCTCTGCCAGGAAAATTCTCCCCTTGTTCCTTATTTGCACTGTAAGCTTTTTTTCTTGCCATTTCAACTTCAGCTTACATCTTACACAAATAGGCTTCTCTGACACCCCCATTATAAAGTAAATCAATGACATTCATGAATTAGCTGCATACTTTGTGACAAGTTATTAATCTCCCTAAATCTAACCTACTCATCCATAAAGCAGGGCTCATGATAACCCCCACGCTTGTGTGAGCATCAGGTGAGTAGAATAAGGAAAGTGGGTAGTATACAAAAGTCACTCAGTTGTGAGTCCTTCCTCTCTGTGGAAGGCCATTCTTACAGTCACCTCCCTCAGATAGGCTCCATTGCTGCCCATTTCGTGGCTCCTGTAGCCCTTGGCTGGCCTTCCATTTTCAGTCCCCCAGTCACTCTAATGGATCTTATATACCACTGCCAGTTTAATAATCTTCACACCTACTTGGCAAAAGAACGCTTCTCCTTTCAAGAATGTAAATCCCCTTAATTTCCACCCCTTTGGGCTCCCTTAGTCACCACAAAGCATTCCTTCAGTATTCAGGAATTCAGATAGTGTGCTGGGGCCTGGGACATTTTTTGTAGGGGGAGCATTGTCATCAGAAGGCCTGGGACTTTTCAGATGTCACAGAGATGACAACGTGAGGGCAGCTTCTTTCCTAAGACAGGCAACCTATTTACCTACACCTGTAATCCCAGCACTCAGGAGGCTGAGGCAGGGGAACCTTCACAAGTTCAAGGCCAGCCTGAACTACACAGCAAGAGGCTGTTTCAAAAAAAGAAAGAAAGAAAAAAGAAAACAAAAACAAGACCACTGCATGATGAAGCCACCTCCCCTAGTGGGAGCAATTACCTCACAGCGGGAGGAACTGAGCCCTCTTTGAAGAAAGAACAATCATTTGAGAGACAAACTGCCCCTCCAAAGGCTATATTTTCAGGGATCCTTTCTACAGTTGGTTATTAGACAAGTTTCTCTGATCGTCATGGATTGAAACCTCTACACACTGTGAACTAAATAAACTCTTTCCCTCAAAAAAATATTAAAAAATAAAAACAACAATGACAAAAAAATAACCCCTCAAGCTATAAGGATTTTTCCAAAACTATAAAACCAGAACTAAAATAATGCTCAACCAGGCCTCAGCCTGCCACAGCATCCTTTATTTTTTCCAGTTTTTATTTTTCAGTAGTACCTGTTTCCAGTACATGCTTATGCTCCCTGCGGGGAATTACTACATATATACGACACATTGTGACTCTTTTCAACACCTTCCCTGCTCCTTCCCTTCACCTCTTGATCCCCTCCCCATATGAAGATCTATCTCCCGGCCTCTTATAATCTATCCTTTATTTTGCTATTTATATTTTGCGTTTCTCATGTAAGAGAAGCCATGTGATATTTAAGCTTCTGTGTTTGATTTATTTCACTTAACGTTATGGTTTTAGGGCACCGCACCTCTTAAAACTGGTCCTTTTTTTGTTATTGGGCCAGACTGGTCTTTGTCTGAATTCTGCCCTCTTCAGCTCCTCAAGCTGAAGCCCTTCTCCTGACCTCTTACTTTCCAGTCATGGCTTCACTTGTCAATTGGCACTGATTGCCTCTGTTTTAATTTCCATTATCACTAAAGCAAGGGCTTGTGCTAGGTGGTAAAAATAAAACCTTGATCTTTGAAACACTTAGAGGCTACTGTCACCAATCTAGAGGAGGCAGACAACCAGAAATCCTCCTGATCTTTTTCCCTACTGCACTGTGATGTTTTACTGAGTTGGTAGAAACCACAGCCCCGCACAGAGCTACCTGCACGGTGGTGGCCAAGGGCGTGCTGGCGGTTTAGATGGTACCAAGGGCAGAGGAGGACATAGCACAAAAGAACGAGGGGAATGTGGTGACCAGCTGTCACAGGCCAACAAGGTCATGATAGCACAGATAGCAGGTGTATTTGAGTCACTGACTCAAGACAAAGAGAATGGGATTAACAGATACTAGTTTTAAAATTCTTTACTATAATTTTAAAGTTAGTGGCAAACACGGTTGATGTCAGGGAGATATTTTTAGGCAAAGGGCCCTCTTGACACCCCTCACATGATATCAGTGACCAACTATTCGGCCTCCTCATGTGGGCTGGCTCTCTCAATAACGATTTATTTCTGAGCCTCAACTTCAGTGAAGGGGGCAAGGTAAAGTTAAAGGTCAAAGGTATTCCTGGGGGCTGGGGATTTAGCTCAGCGGCAAAGTGCCTGCCTGGCAAGCACAAAGTCGTGAGTTCGGTTCCTGGTACCGGAGAAAAACCAAACAACAAAAAAAAAAAAACAAAAAAAAACCAAAGGTATTCCTGAACTGTTAACCAGCTAATTGATTAATCACTTTATTACATTAATTATATTTTTATACATAATTATCACATAATAATTACAGTGTTAGCATGTTTCCCTGCTATGGAGTTATTCAATTCTAGAGGAAGAAAATATACAAAGTGAAGCATTAAAATAACACCTTTCAATGGGGTGATTACAGATTTTTTATTATCAGATTCTTATACAACCGCCTGGCTAATGATAATTTCCATACTGGGCTCCAAGATATCAAGCTTCCGGTAACTTCACCACGTCCTAAAAACATAACCGTCTCTGTCAGATCTACTCTGCTTCACAATCATCAGTTCTCCACCTGTGCTAGAAATCCATCTTTAGACTTTTCAGTTATTTACTTAGCTAGTTAATTCTCCTCTCTGGTGCTATACTGGTGTGAGTATTTTAAGTCACTGTGGCATTGGCCAAGGAAGTGCTTCATTAGCTGGATTACTTAGGGCAGCTGTGAGTCAGCTTCAGCTAGCACCCTTGTCTCCCCCGGATGGCACCCAGCACGCATTTCAGAGCCTTGGTGCCACAGAAACATTGGCAAAATTAATAGCATTGGGCAATTATATACGGTAAATATGCCTGTGCCTAGCAAACGGGCATAGTTATATCACAGACACCCCAGGCAGCATTATGGAGTATGTCTGGAGGTTATTGAGGCCAGCAAAAAGGAACCTTGCCTTAGGTCTTTTACTTGGCATTGGTAGCTTTAACCTGAGCACTCAAAGTTCAGAGATACAGAATCCCTTCTGCTGCACTGGCCATTCCCTACATGTCCTTAGCTGAACTTTGAACCAGAGAAACAAGCAAATGAACAGTGCTCCCTACCACTGCCAATTTTTTGTGCATGCAACCCTGCAGTTATTTCAGAAGGTAGAAGCACTTTTTCTACATTTTATAGCTTTTAGTACATTAAGTATCATTAGCCATTTTACTTTTGTCCGCCTGGACGAGCACGTTGGAAACAATGTTTGGTTTGGGTTCGTAAACCTGTAGATGGTTTCCAGTTAATAAAATACTTTTTTTCAGTTATATTTTATGGATGCATTTTACATTTGAGAGTACCAGGAAGGAGACAGCCACATATATGGAATATTGTTAGAGAAAAACAGGTTTTAAACTGCAGGCAGGGTTTAAATAGTACATGCAGGAGACACAATTGTGTTACATTAGCCAGACGTGTAACCGGGTAGATGGAATTTAAGCCGCAGCAGAATGACTTGCAATTAACACAGCAATTGTTGATCGGAGAAAAGAGCACAGCATGTGAACTTTAGAAAACAGGTATTCTAGGTTTTGGGTCTTCTACATGTTTCTTCACCGTCTGCTCCCTCTCCCCCACAGCCCCTCCCACGCCACCACTGTGTAACTTTAAAGATACAACTGCTGTGGTAGCAGGAAGCACATAAGCTGTGAGAAAGCATAGATTCTGAGCTGTCCTGACTTTATACTTAAAACGGCTGGGTCTTGCTCTCCGCTCTGCCGCCCCCCGCCCTTAGAACAAATTTGCAGAACAAACCCCTTTCTCGGGGCACAAAGGTGCCGCACAGCAAGCGGACGCCCCGGTCCTCCTGCTCTTTGTCAGAATGTCCCCACGCTGCACCTGCTCACGTGCAGAGAGCTTACCTTGAAGGCACAGGCTGAGTCAGCATCTGCCTCAACTGGGTCCCTTGACGGTGAGCGAGCAGATCACAGGGAGGTGGCTGCTGGGGCATCCGCTGCAGCAGAGCCCGGAGTTCTGGGGGGAAGGAAAAGCAAGGGGAGAAACTTCAACAGAAATAGGACGAGTGTTTCCAAGTTAAAAATAAAACTATATCACAAGGGGCAATGTGACCAGGCTCAGCTTACCACGACTTTTCCCTTTCCCTGTATGTATCCTCACTCACTCTTTCCTGCAGTGGCATTTAGCAAAGGAAGCTGGATGTGGAGTGGGGTTTCAGACCAGTGGGTTTTCTTCCCTAGAAGAGAGAAGAAAAACCCCTTGAAGAAGGATCATTTCCAGGCCAGAGCCTAGTCTGAGTCCCAGTGTGCCTTGGGCAAGTCCAGCTGTGCTCCGGGAGGCCAGCGGAGTGGTCAGCACAGGCTGCTGCTCTAATTATAACCGTACTTCTCACCTCAGCCCGTCACTGGCTGAAGCAGCAACTTGTGCAAGTGACCTGCTGTCCTGCTGCAGTTTCTCCTATTTCTTGTCACGACAAGGAAGCACTGTCCTCTCTCGGCTCTTGTCTTTCCCAGACGGTTGGGAAAGGGAGAGAATTTGTAATCCTGAAATCAGGCAGAGCGCAAGTCTGGTGTAAAGAATTAGGAGTGGTAGGAGGCTTAGCTGTCATTTAGTCTAACTCCTCTTTGTAAAGATGAGGAAAAGAGGATCAGAGAAGGTCAAATGTTCATTCATGGTCACATGGCTTGCAGCGGAAGAGCCAGAGGAAAGACATAATTCTAATTCCAAGTCTAGTGGTCTTATGTACCTTATCTTCTTCAAATAAATTCATTCAGCTATCTTCTGAGAAAAGAAAGCATATAACCTTGGCTTTGCTAATTTCTTACTATGTAGCTTTGACCAAATTACTTAAGAATCATTTTTCTCAGTTTTCCCCGTTGTGAAATGGCCATAATACTGTTGAGACCTGCACAGCTCTCAGTGGTCCTGGGGAGAAATGACGAGGGGATGAAGAAAATAAGACAAGAGAAAAGCTGAGGTCAGGTGGAGGTCCTTCTCTCCTGATGGGAGGAGAAGACCTGAACAACATCAGTAGAGGTGTTTATTTATACTTTTGACAAGGTTGCTGTTGGGAGACACAGGGTTGCCTAGTGACTAATGACTGGAATGGTCTCAGGCAGGATATTTTCCTAGGACTGAGGTATCCCAGCTTCAGCTGCTCCCTACATAATACTACTTGATAGGACCGTGTTCATCAATACACAAAAAAGCACATGGCTAATGCTTGCTATGAACAAAGTGCTCAAAAGTGTTAGATGTTATTTGGATGTATCTGAGTGTATTGTCCTCAAAGTAGCAGGTAAGAGCCAGGGAGATAACCCAGCAGTACAGCTCCTGCCTGGCAAGTGCAAGGTCCTGAGTTCAATTCCTGGTACAAATAAATAAACAAATAAATAAATAAAAGTAGCAGAGGAAAATTGTAAAAATTTTCTAAACAGATCTTGTAATGTGAAACTGCTGAAGTTGTTGTAAGGCTTTCTTGTGGATTGCTCAGAATTTTCTGTACACAAAAGCAAGCCATTTGCAAATAGAGGCATTTTTGCTTCCTTTCCCATCTGGATGACTTCCCTTTTTTTCCTTTCTTGTCTAGCCTAGAACTTCCAACACTACATTGAATAAGAGTGGTGAGTGGAACCACCTGGACTTGTCCCTGACCTTAGGGGAAAGCACAGATTTTATTCACAAGTGATGTTAACTGTGTGTGTGTGTTTTTTTTAAAATCAAGTTTAAGGACATGTCTTTATCATGAAAGGGAATGGACTTTATCAGATGCTTTCTCTGTGCCTCTTGAGATGACCATGTGATTTTTATCCTTGGTTAATATTGTGTATGACATTGGTCGATTTTTGTATGTGGAACCAAACTTCCATTCCTGGGTAAACCTCACTTGGTCATGGTATAGAATTCCTTTTTGTTTCTGGAGTTTTGTTTGTTAGAATTTTATTGGGGATTTTTGCATTTATATTCAGAAAAGATATTAGTCTGTAATTTTCTCTTAAGGTCTTTGCTTAGTTTTGGTATTGGGGTAATACTGGTCTTGTGGAACGAGTTCGGAAGTGTTCCCTCCTCTTCTGTTTTTTTTTTTTTTTTTTTTTTTTTTTGGAGCAGTTGGTTAAGGACTGTTAATTCTTCTTCAGCCATTTGGTAGAGTTTAGCAGTGAGGCTATCTGAGCCTGGGCTTTTCTTCGTAGGAAGTTTTTGGTTACAAACTTGTTCTTCTTGTTTGTTACAGCCATGGTCAGTTTTTTTATTTCTTGTTGAGTCAGATTAGGAATTTTGTCTACACTAAGTAATTTAATTTATTGGCATTCAATTGTTCACAGTGTCCTTTTATAATGCTTTGAATTTCTGTAAAATTGGCTTGTAGAATTCCCTTTCATTTCTTTTCTTTCCTTTTTTGAGACAGAGTTTCACTATGTAGTTCAGGCTGGCCTTGAACTCACTTTGTAGCCCAGGCTGGCTTCCAACTCGCAGTAATCCTCCTGCCTCAGCCTTCTGACTGTTAGTATTACAGGAATGGGCCACCGTTCCCAGCCCCCTTTCATTTCCTCTTCTAGTGATTGAGTTATCTTCTCCTCCTCCTCTTTGCTCAGGCTAGCTTAAAGATTTCTTATTGTGTTGATCTTTTCAAACAACTAGTTGTTGCTTTCACTGATTTTTCTCTATTGCTTTCTCTATCCTCTATCTCATTTATTTCTGTTATAGGCTTTGCTTCCTTTTTTCTACTTCCTTTGGATTTAGTTTGCACTTCTTTTTCTTGTTTTTAAGGTAGAAATTTACTGGTTTGAAGGTGAAACGATGAAGACAGTGAAATGATCTGTGTTAGTCAAGGGTGTGGGCAGGGAGGGATGAGCAGGTGGAACTAAGAATTACTTTAAGCAGTGAGACTATTCCATATCTATGATACTACTAATGGTGGGTGCGTGTTATTACACATCTGTCAGCCCATAGCATGTGCCACATCAGTAATGGAACCTGACAAAATCTGTGGATTTGGAGAGACAGTGCTGTACCTATAGGTTGAGTATAACAAAGGTGCCACTCTTGGGGAGGTAGGGACATTAAAGAAGGCTGTGCATATATAAGGATGGGGGATATGGGGATGCTATCTTCTGTTCAATGTGCTACAAACCTAAAACTGCTATAAAAAATAAAATATAATTAAAAAAATCAAAATTACAAAGCCAAAACAAAACAAAAAATGTCTCTTAGCAAAAGGGCCAATGACCTGGCCCCAGTTCAGTTTTTGTTTCACAGACAGGATCTCACTATATAGTTCAGGCTGGCCTTAAACTCACTCTGTAGCCCAGATTGGCCTTGAACTCATGGCAGTCCTCCTGCCTCAGCCTCCCAAGTGCTGGGATGACAGGCATGGGCCAGCACACCCGGCTCCAGTCCTGGTTCCAGAGTCCAGCTTTGCAAGGTCTTTCTGTGCTGACCTAGAATGCTATGGGTAACAGAGACCTTAAAGCCTACTACCCACTGCCCTCAAAATGCGCTCCAGATCACTATATGTGTGTGACCAGATTATTCAATGTATGTTTCTTTTTCAATTGATTTTTCTTTTCTTTTTTT